ACAATATATAAAATAAATCACTGGATGGAATGGACAACAGATTGGAGAGAACATTAGAAAGGATCATTGAAATTAAAGGCGAATCATACCAAATCACCCAGGGACGCCCAGGGAGGAAAAATGACTGAAAAAACAGTTCAGAGCCCTAATAACCTGTAAGACAGTATTAAGTGATCTATCACATGTTAATTAGGGTTGCAGGAGAAAAATGACGGGTTGACAGAAAAAAATATTTGAAGAAAAATGGTTAAAACTTTACTACGTTTTCCTGTAATCAGCAGCCCAGAGACCCAGAAACCTCAGAGGAACTCAGGAAGGACAAGTACAAGGGGACACTGAGGCACATTATAAACAGAGTGCCGAAAAACCAAGGATACAGAGAACATCTTAAATAAAAAGACACGCTACATACAGGAGAATAACAATAAGCATGACTGCGGACTTCTCATCAGGGAAAAAAGAAAAAGATGGAGGTCAGAAGACAACCGAATAACATTTTAAAAATGCTGAAAGAAAGCCTGTCAACTCAAGATCCTAAATCCAGCAAAAATATCTTGGAAAAGTGAAGCCAAAATAAAGGCGATAAACTAAGGCTGAAAGAATCTGCTGTCTGGACTGAGGTAAAATAATTACCAGACGGAAATCTGGATCTACACAAATGAATGCAAAGCACTGGAAATGGTATACATATGAGAAAATATGACAGATTATCTTTTTCTTTGTAAAAAATTCTTTAATAATCCATTAACTATTTAATTTAAAGTATTAGCAACCTGGGTGGTGTATACAACATATGTAGCAGTATAATATTTAACAACAACAGCATAAAAGACAAAACTGGGCATAACTGGATTCTGTCTTTTTAAGGTTGTTACATTGTACAGAAATGGAGTAATATTAATCCAAGGTGGACTGAAAAATGCAGATTCATGTAAACTCAAGAGCAACCACTTGAAAACATACAAGCGTAACAATAAAAACCAATAGAAGATATAGAACACAGCAACAAAGGAAACATTTCATTAACTCCAATGAAGACAGGAAAGGAAGGACAAAGAACAAAGGGTTAAAGAGAAAACAAGATAATGAGACAAACATAAATATAATTACATTAAAGGCAAACGAACTGACAGTCCTAAAGGAAGCAGCCACTGAAAGTCTCAACTACTGCTGATTACAAGACACATTTAAAATATAAGGATGCAGATAGGGTAACAGTAAAGGATTGGAAAAGAATATGACATGCCAATAAGTAAGCATTAGAAAGCTGGTGTGGCTATTAGACACAGAAAACTTTAAGGCAAGAAGTATTAACAGAATAAAAAGAGAATTTCATAGTGACAAGAGGATAAATCATAGAGAAGACATAACAAATACACAAATGTATAAGCACCTAATAACAAAGTTTCTAAAAACATGAAGCAAAATTGAGAAATATATAAAAATTCATAACTTTTTTATACTGGAAATTGTATTTCCATTAAAAACTGGAAAAAACACATTCACAAGTGATAACATTTATAACGTGACCAGTATAATTTAACTAAAAAAAGATAGGATCTGTGTAAATAAACTATATAAAATGTTATCCAAAACTAAAAAGTCATGTCAATGCTTTTGGATGAGAAGTCAATATACTCTCATTTACAAGTGACGAAATAAATGCAATATAACTGCAATCAAAATCCCAATGTGGATATTTTTAATTGAAAACAAACACAATAAAATATTCTTTTTCTTTTTTAAGTATTCACTATGAAGGAAATAAAGGGTCATGATGTCTATAATCTACAAGGAAGTGGCACAGTCAAAAAATAAAGGCAAAAAATACGTTAAAATGTTAATAATTCTTGAATGTGGGTATGAGTATACATTTTAGTATAATTTCTACTTAAGTTTGAAATTTTCCTTATAAAAATGTAAAAAATGCATTTACTAAGTAACAATTTCCATGAAGTTTTCGGAAAGTAAATGAAAGATGAAGATTATTTTACCAGGTATGTATGATAAATTTCAACATAGTTACAATAATCAAAACAGTATGATCACAGTCGAGGATTAGATAATTAACAGTTACATGGCTTAAGGAGTCCAAAGAAGTATTTGAGTTTATATGAAACTTCAATTCAATTCAGTGGAAGAAAATAGATTGTTAATTAAATGGTATTGATTCAACTCATCAGGAAGAAATAAAGTTATGTTCATAAAAAGTATAACTCCAGAAGCATTAATATGCAAAGAAAATTTTAAGTACAATTTATATTACTTTGAGGATAGGGGAGGTCTTCATAAGCAAGACAGGAAACCAGATTTGATAAAAACAAATGAAAGATTTGGCTTCATGAAATTAAATTTCTTTGTATTTAAAATAAAATCTAAATAAAACTTTTGAAAAGCACCTAAGAAAATGTGTGTAACATATAACAGAGAAAATGTTAACATCCTTAACAAAAATATAGAATGCAAACTGATTTATAAAAAAAAGTAAAGAATTCAACAAAAATTACACAAAAGTTGTGAACAAACAGAAGTAGGAACAAAGTCAACAAACATGAAAAGATCTCTAATGCAGGGAGTTGTCAGAGAATGGCATACTTAAAGAGAAACAGTTTTCACCCTATGTGAGGAGAAGTGTGAATTTCTACCGTCCTTTTAGAAAATTTAACATTCATCTACATTTCTAGCACCGTATGCAATGTGATATATATTTTTAAAGGACAGTAGATGACTTTATAAGAGTTTATTGCAGAATTATTTATGGCGCAAAATTCTAGAAACATCTTATCAATAGGAGGAAGGTTTGGTGAGCCTTTAGCTAGTCCTCCATACTACGTGATGTCACATAACTCTTAAAAATAGGCAAGCATCTGGTATACCGTCGGCCCTGCTCATCTGTGGGTCCTGCTTCCGCAGAGTCAACCAACCTCGGATCCTGTACTATGTTGCTTGAATCTGTACAGGCGGAACCTACGGATACGAGGGCCGAGGGCCGACGAAGGGACTTAGGGACTTGAACATCCACTGATTTTGTTATGCGGGTGGTGTCCTGGAACACATTCTCTGTGGATACCGAGGAAGGCCTGTAATCATGTTTTTGTTTAAAGATGTATGTTTGTGCATATAAACAGTTTAGAATAAACAGGGGAGAATGCATGGTTCTACTGGTTCTGCAGAACAGGACCCAGCGGACCCCCGGGTCTCTCATCCGCTCTGTGCAGACGGAAGAGTGACCCTATTCATCGTCCAGGGCCATTTTATACAAGGGACGTAATACCCGTATTCTGGTACCTGCAGGGGCTCTGGGAACGGACACCCACGGACGACTCTATTATTGTTTTTCTTGTATATACCTGCACTCTTTGAATTCTTAAAACAAATATGCAACACCTTTAAAGTTATTTAATCTTCATAACTATACAGTATACACCACTAACATGTACATATGCATTAAGCACCAAGTATGATATTACTTGCAATTAGATTTTTAAATTTTCTATTTTATAAGAATATGATTATTGTAATCATTTTGCTAAAATCATATGCAAGAAACTTGTTACTACTTACATGACTCTTATTTATAACTTAACAACAATGTATACACATAGTTTTCAGCAAGCCAAAGGATACCTTAACCCAGCGCATATTTCTCCAGTCTTACCATTGCCATAAGAAAGAGAACCGTGGACAAACTCCCATTTCTACAGACATGAAGACTTTAAATCACACGCATCCCTTGGGCTGCAGGCAGAAGAGGGTGTGTTGTCCTGCATGACACTGACCCTTCTGCCAACCCTGGGAGGGTGCTGGCAATGTGTCCAGACTGCCCTCTGTAAAATTAAGATGTATATTTTTTTCCTCAAAGAAGGTTCCCCATAAAAACTCTGATGATCATATTCTTGAAGAGGTCAACTTTATTTATTATGTATCTGTCTCTAGTCATTGGTAGACCTAATGTGTTGTGTTTGGGGTACCTGAGTGAACTGCTTCTAAGAACTGAAAGCGGATTTCTCTAGAAAGAAATGTTATGATCAGTACCTTAATGGATCACAGAGGAGGTACTCAAAGCATCCGAGCAAAAAAGAATAGATTCAACTTCACCAAGACTAGGATGAACCAATAAACAAGCGTTCCCCAAATCTAAAGATAAATCTAAATCTAAAGATAAATCTAAATCTAAAGACGGCATCACTTAAGATGGACCTAGTCAGACATGGAAACGGCCAAAGGAAAGTCCTACAAAGAAAAGCTGGTGGTAACCACCTACACACCGGCAAGGCCAAGAGGGGTTTTAGCCAGTGGACTGAGCTCTAATGGACAGATGGGTGGACAGGTGCACGATGAAAACACGTGACACATTTCTGAACCCAGCGGGCAAGTCACGCCTGTTCAGAAAAAAAGGAATCAAACTGCCTTAGCCTGATGCATTAGAACATTTAAGGAATCTCATTCTCTCTGTTCTGACCCCACGTTCAGACCAACTTTGGACTGCCACTTGGCTTCCTGAAGGATTGTGACCACGCTGAATGCCAATATTCTGATGCTTATAACTAGAATGTATGCTTGCAGATCAATAAAATGGAATTCAGGTTTTATAGATCAATCGCATTGGCTTGGTTAATAAGATCTGGATTCTGATGAATCCATTTTCATTTGCTTTTGAGTCTGTGAGGTCAATGACCAAACGCTGGACTGTGACAAACTCAAGGAGAGGCGTCTTGGAAAATGACTTCCCTTTAAAAGTACCCATTCCTATGTGACCAGTTTAAATTCTAATTCATATTTTAGTGACCTTCGCAATACATCGTCAGCAATCTTGTCAAAACGAAATATCCAAAGTAAATATAAAGTGCACATAAAACAAACAAAAAAAACCACATAAATTCTTTTTACATTTCTTTTTTCAAATATAAATTTATGCCAAATTACATTTTTGTTTTTAAATATAAATTTATTCCAAATAACACTCCCTGGGCTACTAAACTTTCAAAAATTATTTTTACCTATGTGATTGATTATTAAGGTTTAGCGATCCGGTCTGGTACATCTCTTCCAACTGTTTCCTGTTTCCAAAGTATAACGCAAGGTCTGTGGCAATGATGGCTTTGCGGATGATCTCAAGCACCTGTTCATATTCGCTGGAGCTCAGGGTGGAGAAGATATTGTGCCCCTCCAACTAGGGAAAAAATACAAATAAACACCACCAATAACAAGCACAAGCTCCAATCTAATGACATTTTCAGTTACTTGAAACAACAGTCAGTCAATGGCATTTGGTCAGGACAGGTTTTGGGGGAACAAAAGGATAGTTTGAAATGACTAATGAAATTAATGTTTTGGTTTCTCTTCACGATACAACAATGAAGCTACCACTTAAATGAACTATTTAAACTACGTAACATTTCCCACCATAAAATCCCAGTGATTTAAATATACACCTAGTTTTGGGATATTTCTAGTAAGGAATTAAAGGACTGGAATATGCAAAATATTTAAGTAAAAGACTTTTCCTTTTAAACTAATTAAGAACTTCGGTAAGTTTCACATTCTACTGGAAATTAATGGGCTTAAAAAGTCATCTATATATTTGTCCACTTCCGCAAGCCTCATGATTAATAAACTATTTTCTCTGTATCATAGAAGAAAATGTCCCAGGACCTGAACATAAAATTTAGGCAAATTAAAAACTCTCCCTACAGGCAAGAATGCTTTTACATAAAGCACAAATCCCTGAGGTGCAAAAACTGTAAGGCCATCCTGTCTTCTGTCCTCATGGGAGATGGACCCAGCAGATCATCACCCTAAACAAGACCAAACACTGGTCATTTGAATTCTGTTTTCTCATAATTATTCTTCTGTATATGAATCTTTTAAAAACTTTTTACAATAATTTCTTCCTCAGGATTTTAAGTTTTATTTGTAGTTGAGGTTAAAACGGGTCATTTTTGTTCAAACAAAAAAAGGTAGATATTCAATTTGTGGGTTCATCAATTATTTTTTAATGATTCATTAGTCAACACAGTTGTACTATAAACTGATTTTCAATTGTTCCCGCTTGTCTTAAGCTACATATATTGACTGATAAATTGCATGACAAACTTCAAATTATTAAAGTATATTTTTTTTACAAAATCAGACATCTCACTAAGATATCGTCTGCTTCCTAGTACTCTGAAATAAGGTTGTATGTGCCACATTTATTTTCGGTTATCAGAATCTTCCTGTATTATTTACTTTTAAGGTACTATATTTATATTTAAATTATCCTATGATAAATGGAGTTAGTTCTAGTTGGTTCTTTTTCAGACAATGGTAATAGTAAGGACATGTTTGTAGAATGCTCTAAGGTTATAAAGCACTTTCAAACACACGACTGCACTTTCAAATTATAACATTTAAATGCATCTTTGATATCTAATTGAAATGAAGTATTTGCTGAAGCATTAACAACATTTTTATTTGACTAAAGAAAAACTGCAGTACTTATATAAACTGGTTATTTCAGTAATTTTTAGTAATGTAATCTCACTTGAAGCAGCCTTCATAAAAGCAATAGGGGCAAAGAGGTGGACATGATAAGGACAGGACTTCAGCTCAACACAAGGAAGAACCATCTAAATGTTCAGAGTTACCAGGTGAACTATGCATGGGATGCTGTTTGTGGAAACATTTAAAACACAGGCTGGTTAGTAACTGATGGGAGACAAGGGGCGGGGATTTAGTCACTGGGAAGGTAATTAACTTCCAAGCCCCTTTCAACCTCAACTCTAAACTTGTATTGTACAAAGTTACAAGAAAGAAATCTTGACTCTGACTTGTGCTAAGAAAGCTGCTTTGCTTTGATCATAACTCAAGTAAAGCAGCTGGCCTCTGCTTCAGCACTTAATGCTCTGTGACCTGGGCTCCCCCCTCATACACATGTTCCACATTGGATGTGTTTGGCTGGTACGCATGCACACATCTGCTCTTGGCAGGTTGTCTGAAGAGGAATCACGTGTGATATATATTTATATGATTTACTCTCTCTATCACCAACAAACTATTAAATTATAGCACATAAAATATTCTCACATACTGTTGGATTTTACGTTTTAACCTCTCTAAAATAGGGACTTCTTAGCCTGGGTTCTATAAATTCTCTTGGGGACCACAGAGCAATGAACTCACTACAACTGTACATAGTACGTTGAGTGTGGCATCCATAAACACGCGTTTTCATCAGATTCTCAAAAGTGTCCACGACCTAAGACAAAGTAAGACCCATTTTAAAGGATCTGTATATTCTGCTGGCTATTTCAGATTATTTCTTTTTTTACTTTACTTTTCGATATTAAAGGGAAACTAGGTGGAAAAGTTCAGCAGTGAACCTTTATAATGAACAGCTGGACTACTTCCTTCAACATTTTACAAGAGTATAGGGAATAAGTGATAAAAAAAACAATAAATGGCCCCTTCCTTTCAAGAGAATATAGTATATATTTATCAACACTTTGCTCCTACCAAAACAAAAGACAATAAGGGAGATACAGCAACCAAGCACAGCAGATAAACGCTGAAAATGCTTTGAAAGCTCCAATTTCACATTAGTTAACAACCTAATAAAACCTCACAAAATAATAAGATGCTTTTATATACCAACTGATAAGTTTATTATAACTAATATTCCAGGTTACGCTGTTTAAAGTTTGTATTAACTCAAGGCAGTTGATCCCATGTTGTATCAATCAAGCATAAAATAACAAGCATTTTATACCCAGCAATGTTTCTAAAGTCCCAAGATAGGTAAGGAGCATATAATTCTTACGTCTGTGAAAGCTTACGAGTGGGCTCTGTTTGTAAAGGCTCAGCTGCTTAAGTAGCTGAGATTTGTGAGATATGTACGAGAGAATAGAAACAACGCTGAAACGGTCCTGATGCTGAGAGACTTCTCGGGGACACACTTTAAGGTCTTTAAGGTGGGAGGTCCTTAAGGTCCCTCCTAACTCTCAAAGATGATGGGTCTAAGGATTCTCAGCGTTCTGATTCACTGTTAGAGCACTGCTTTCTTGCCACAGCTGTATCTTTCCCACCACAAAATGAGGAATGTGTGTCTCATTGAGCAGATATTCAGTCTGTAGCGTCTCACTTTGGGTAAGGATATTAGTAGCTACTATATCCAAGGTCCTAAACAACGTAAGTTCATTTTTTTTAAGGCGTTCGCTGTTCAGTGGTACACAAAAAATAGAGTAGCATGGTCCCCACGAATGAGGTAAGTGAAGACCATGGGAGCACATGGGACGCTCTTCTCGGTGGCGACATGAATTCTGAAGGACCGGTGGAGGAACAGAGGAGGCATGAGACCCTGAGCGTTCGCTGGAAGCACAGACACTTCCGTGCAGCTGAGGCAAATTTAATACAGAAATGGTAAGAACTAAAGTAAAAGTTTTTTTAAAAGGCCGGGATGCAGGGCTTCCCTGGTGGTGCAGTGGTTGAGAGTCTGCCTGCCGATGCAGGGGACACGGGTTCGTGCCCCGGTCCAGGAGGATCCCACAGGCCGCGGAGCAGCTGGGCCCTTGAACCGCGGCCGCTGAGCCTGCGCGTCCGGAGCCTGTGCTCCGCAACGCGAGAGGCCACAACAGTGAGAGGCCCGCGTACCGCAAAAAAAAAAAAAAAAAAGGCCTGGATGCAGAACTGAAATACGATATGGAAAGTAATAAGGAGCCACTGAGGATTACGGAGGTGGCTTTTGGAGCAGTCCCTCTGGCGACAGCGCGCGTGGAGGTGGGTCAGAACAGAGGCAGAAGGGCGGATGGTCAATCTGTCCTCAGCACGCTTTTAAAATATTACCATGAATCATATGTAATTCTCCCCGAAGCCCTACTGTGCTGAGCTCTACAACAGAGATTCTCCCGGAAGGGCTTTGGAGCTCAGATTTCAGTATCTGCATGCCAGCCAGTCCAGGCCTCTCTCCCCAGCAGCCCTGCCCCTACTGGGCTGTGAATCACTGTCACAGGAGCAACAGGCGGAGGCTGAATCATTCTGGGGCTTCAGGATGAAAAACGTCAATGACACAACTAATTGCTTCAAGCATTCACAACAGCGATGCCTTTAAAAGATACATAATACTTATTCTGACATTTAATTGTCCACTGCATCAAACCATACACTAGGAAACATGAGAGTACTGTAATTAAGAACACAAGTTTTGGAGTCAAACAGCTCTGATTTTTAATATCCTCTGCCCCCTACTAGCTGTGTGACAATGAGCCAGTTACTGAACCTCTCTGATGCACATTACTCTTATTTGTAAAATGGAAATGAATAATAATACTTGTCTCATAGGATACCGTAAAAATCAAATGTACTGATCCGTGTAAAATTCTTAAGTTTCTGGTATACAGGAAGTACCTAATAAATGATGAAATGATTACCATGATGATGGTGGTGATGATGATAAAACCTACCAGTAGAACTTCTGCAGTCAGAGTTGAAACAGGGAGAGAGAGAAGGAGAAACAAGCACACAAACTGATACGCCCAGAACTGAACTGGACCGCCAGAGAACACGTCTAGCTATTTAGAATACATCTGTAGAAAAGGACAGATTTAGGCTAACCTCTGTAATAAACTAATCCATTTTAGTCTAGAAGTAAGGACAGTGTTGAGTGTAAGTACAACTATTTTGCTATAATTGCAACAGACAACAGTAAACTCTACCCACTGCAGATGGACTTGGCTGTGTCACGGAAATGCTACTGCTATAAAACGTAACGAAAATGTCATGGGATCGCAAAATGTTGGGATAAAGATAACTTTTTAAAAATGTAAACATATTTCAGAAGCACTAGATGATTTAAGATTAATGGGATGATGAGAAATTTTTCTTAATAATGAGAATAACCATTCCTAATTGGTCTGTTTTCTAAAATTTTGACTTCTGCGTACCTAACGTAGGGTATTCACAGAAGGCAAAAGACAGAAAAAGGGTAGCTTCAATATTCAAAATAATCATTAATATCTTATTATGAAATATAATTTGACTATTAAAATGAACATTAATTACGAATATTAAATAAAGGAATGTTCAATGAACATTAAAATGGATTTAATATTCTAACGCTAATGGTTCTATCACCGTTGCTAAATAAAAATGCATGGATGGGTAAGTTTTAGGTCAGAACACAAAGCTTGCCCACTCTCTTGTCACTGTCCACATAGAACAGTCTCCTTACCTGAAGTCATTCCACTTACCCTCCACCACTGAGGCACCTACACGCTTTGTCCCAAGGAGACATATCTACTCAGTTTCCCCTAAATAGAACCTGGCAGTTACCAGTCGCCAAACATTGCACACATTGTTTTGCCTTCTCTGACTCTTAGGTCCACATTCTTATCTTCACGTGACCACCACCACCCACGTCAACAGACCCGGCAGTAGGCCTGCGGGATGGAGATGAACGAGGGGCAGCGACTGTCCTCACCGGGCTTACAGAGGAGAGGAAGGCTAAACTCACAAACAGGAAATTTTTATACCATGTGAGAACTCTAGAATACGTGTATGTTTAAGGGACTCAGGGGCCACGTGGAAAAGGCACACAGCTGTGCCCCAGTTATGTGGAGACGTCATAAAATACTTTCACCGGAGGAGGTACTGCCTGAGCTGAGTCTTAAAGATAAGGAGAAGCTGGCCACCAAAATAGAAAACTCTAGACAATGCAGAGTTAAGAAATGGTCTAGAACTGCAAAAATACACATATAACAGTCCTGGAACAGGCAGAGGCCATTCATAAAAGACTTGTATTTCAATTAAGAAACAAAATTTATTCTTGAGGCCATGGGACCCACTGGTGGCTTTTAAAAAGGAGAATAGGGCGTCCCTGGTGGCGCAGTGGTTGAGAGTCCGCCTGCCGATGCAGGGGACGCGGGTTCGTGCCCCGGTCCGGGAGGATCCCACGTGCCGCGGAGCGGCTGGGCCCGTGAGCCATGGCCGCTGAGCCTGCGCGTCCGGAGCCTGTGCTCCGCAACGGGAGATGCCACAACAGTGAGAGGCCTGCGTACCGCACAAAAAAAAAAAAAAAAAAAAGGAAAATAACATGTTCAGACATATATTTGGAAGATAAATTTGAGAACCACAAGTTTGGGGAAATGGTGATCAATATGCGGGAAAAGGGGGCTTCCCTGGTGGCACAGTGGTTGAGAGTCCGCCTTCCGATGCAGGGGACACGGGTTCGTGCCCTGGTCTGTGAGGATCCCACATGCCGCGGAGCGGCTGGGCCCGTGAGCCATGGCCGCTGAGCCTGCATGTCCGGAGCCTGTGCTCCGCAACGGGAGAGGCCTGCGTATCGCAAAAGAAAAAAAAAAAAAAAAAAAACTGGGGGAAAAGTCAGTCAAACAGACAACGTCTAATGAAGGCGGAATTTGGGATGTCACTCGGGAAAGGTCCTTGATGGACATGTAGGAGACTGTACGCTCAGAGGGGCCAGTTCAGCATCCACTACAGGCGCCAAATGGGAACTCTGTCTCCCATGAATGCCCCTCACGGCCTGTACACAGCCCCTGGCCCCAGTCACCGAGAAAACAGTCCTGAGACCCAATGTTGAGACAAGGGGCAGCTCAGCAAAAGTTAAGAATCTGAACCTATCTTTCCTCTAGATGCTTTCACACTTCTCCTTACTTCATTCCTGACTTAATCTCCTCCCACTGCCCACTCGGGGTGGGGGCGGGGGGGAGGGTGGGAACTGCCCACTGCATCTTTCTCCCTGTGACGGAAGTGAAGGCAAGTGTGAACGAACATACACCCCTCCTGCCGTGCTGTACCATGAATAGTTCTGTGCTAGTGTGTGAAGGACTGAGGTTAGCTTTTAAATCTACTTCCCCTTTCTGTTTGCTGAGGTTGCTGTGGTCACACAGGGGGCCTCTTCCCCACGCTTCCCCAGTCGCCCAGGTTATCCCATAAGTAATTGTGGCAACAACACTGAAAGTCAGCATTCGGGTTAACGAGACTGTGGTCTGTAGACACACACACACAGCTTTGAGGAGGCCTCGTGGGGAACCATCTCTAACCATCGTGGTGAATTTTTTTATCTCCTCTTTGGCCACGTTGCCAAAGGATGAATAGTTCGGGACTGCGATCCCCTGTGCAGCCAGAGCGCTGAAGGCTGCCTGCGGAGATGAGGACGCCGAAGGAGAAGCCCTTCCCTACCCTGACCGCTGGGCGGACAGACCTATCAGAGGGCTCCGTGTGACGTAATGACATATTGTTCTGTCTGATAATTCAGTGACTGGATGTTGAAATTAAATTTTACTCTCCGCCAAGGATATCACCTTAATTGGTCAAGTCTGGAGGTGTCCTGACAAAACTTCAAACTGGCAGGGCTTGGTGACTGGAGCTGGGGGCAGGGTGAGGGGGAAGGACTCTAACAGGGTCACTGGCCCGTGGGGTGAGTGAGGCACCTTCACGGGAGCTGTAAAGTAACTCAGCACGATTGTGGCCACACTGAACGCCAAACACAGTTCAAGCGTTTGGAAACAGAACCTTACGGTACCCCAGGCTGACACACAGGCGTGAGAGCCACAGCCTGTTAGGATGGCTGGGACCCCAGGAGGCCGGCCAGGTGGAGCGGCAAGAAGGTCCGCTTGAGGGCGGAGCTGTGGACACAACAGGCATCTGTGCTTTTGCTATCACTGTCCCCCCGGGCCTGAAACATGTGCTGGCAGCTGCGAGGCAGTGAATAAATATGTTCGCTATTGAAACGAATTTCAAGAGGCAGTTAGATGGATCTGAGAAGCAAAACTCAGAGGAGTTATCATGAGCATGTACAATCAGCAGATTCTAGAGATCTCCAGAAAATGAAGGGGCCCTCCGCCATTCTCCTGCCCGTGAAGATGGGGCCGTGAGTTTATGCCCCCTATGTTTCTCCCTGTCACAGCTCACACAGGAGGTGTTGGTCAAGCCAGGATACAGATTCAGATTTTAACTGGTGGGCTGAACCTGTGGCCATGACGGTTCTTCTAGCCGGCTTCCCATCCCATTCGTCTGCTGAGAACCTCACCTCTCTAAAGACACAAGAACAAAGGTGCCCTTATGTTCCCCCCACCAGTGACTGAAATGCCTTCTCTAATACTCGGAATCTAACTACCCTCCAACAACTCTGTGGATGCCAGCAGCGTGCCTGAACTTAATTCACTGCCTGAGTCCCCGTGATGATGCTCTGATCATTCTAGGAACACCGCATCATGGAACACAGAGCCCCCACGTGGCTGAGGGTTTGCTGAAAATGCGACAAACTGCTCTGTGCCACCTCCACTGTCAACGGCGGCAAACAGAGTAAGTCTTCCTGCCAGAAGTCTTCCTTGGCTGGGTCAGACCCTCTCCACCCCTTCTGCTTTGTATCACTGCTGTATCACACAGTTTATATCTTATTCCATCCAGCAGCGATGTACCTTGCAACCCTGGCCTCTGTAAATTCTCTTATATTTAAAATAGGTTTTCTGAGGGAACTTCAGGAAGGCTATTAAAATTCATTTGCAGATTAAGTTGCCAGAAATGCTGTCACAGTCACATGTATGAATTCATTTAGGACACAGGATGCACATGGGGCCCAGGAGGCCTAATTATTTCTAAATGAAGGCGTCCTGATGTCCTTTCTGGCATAGACCCTTTTTCCTGGGCAAATAAATAGCCTAAGGGGAAAGCAGATATAAACTGTCATAAAGTTTTATAAATGTCTATTTACAAAAAGCATGTTCTAATGCATGTGTGTGTTAATATACATGTGTGTGTATATACACCTATTATACACACACATATATAGGGATATGCATCTATATCATACACACATACAAACACATACACATATACATATATCCACACACATCTTTTATCCTGCCTAAATTTCTAGGTATGTATGTATCTATCTATCTATCAGCCAAACATACATAACCTACATCATTTAAAAAATAAAGTATTGGTGCCAAGGGAACATCGGGAACGGTGACTACCTATCGCTTTCAGGGATAGAACCAGCCCGGGAGCAAGGGGGACAGTCAGCCACCTGCCGGATATGACTCCGTATCTGACAGACCTTTCACTCTGCCCCGCAGGTCATCAGAAGAGCACCTGCACTTCAGTAAGCTCACCAGTTACCTTCTCAGCCCTGAGGAAAAGGGGCCTGACCACGTACATGCTGCTGGGTTTTGAAAAGATCTGAGTGTGCAGTACTACCAATCAATCACTGGGACAGTTGGGACCATGAGGCACCACTAGGAGAAGCTACGGAGAGGAAAAGAGCCCTGGGTGGTCAGGGGAGGGCTGGGCTACACAAGACAGGAAAACTGCACCAAGTGGCAGACACCTTTCTGCTTCGCAAGTCGCCCACAGCCAGGCGCTGCTGAGGTCCTGCCGGGGCTTTGCGTCACAACCTTGAAACTTCCAAATCCTTCCCGTAGACACGTAATCAAAAGATCTAATAAGATTTCTCCTCCTATTTTGAGGTGCTGACAGTGAGAGGAAGAAACGGGGTCCACTATTCTTAAGTCAAACAGAGATCACATTTTAAAAATTGTCTGTGAGAGGAGTCAAAGCATTACGAGGCGATAGTTACGTAGTTAAGATGACTTTGAGAAAAAGGTTTGAAGTGGAGAAGGAGCGTACGTATCTCACAGGGAAGGGAGACCAGTCAGCATCCAGCTCAGTCACTAAGGACATCTTAAAAGCAAGAAAAATCGATTTAAAAACACACAAAAGAAAAAAGAAAAGAACTTCAATGCACTTAAAATCTTGTTTGCCTAACGTTCAAGACTCGTTGTTCAACACATTCTGGTTCAAGAACATGATGATCCACGTAGATTAAATTAACTACGTGAAACAAACTTTGCCTTGGGGTATAAGGTACTTAAAAATCAAATGTGATTGCAAAATATATATAAATCTTTTAAAAAAGGTTTTACGATAAGGTGTAGCTGCTGTTTCTGAAGAAAGCCAGAAGAATATCCCTCTTTTATGTATAAACCGCGGGTCTCTCTGACAAGACGACGCACACACGGGGCAGCGGTCAGGCACGTGTCCCTGGGCGCCTCACCTGAAGGATGGAAACGGTCTGGGAGAAGTGATGCTGTTCCATGGTCGACGTGGAGTATAGTGCCGCGAGGGGGTGGTCGAATTTCTGCAGGTAGCTGTTACTGAAGCCCCTGTGGTCCAGGTCGTGGCACAGACACGCAATTAGCAGTCCCTTGCGCTTAAGGAGAAACCACAGTGCACAGATGTTCAAAACAAAGAAATGGGACATGAGGAAAGTTACGGTTAGTATTCTTATCACACTGACTTCTGTCACTGATGCAGCCAACATGCTCATGAATGCCTGAAATAACAGATAATCTAACTTCTTTTTTAACCAGTTTCTTTGTCTTTCTGCTTAGGAACTTAACAATCAAATTATCCTTGAGTTTTCCTGATCGACTCTGGTAAAAAGGGTAGGTGGTATCAAATTAAAGCAAATGTCCCAAAGAATCACAGATAAAGCAAGTCTGCAAAAGGAGAGGACAGTATCAGTTCTTCACTTAAAAATCTATTCAATATTAAATTCTAACGATGTTACTGCTATCATAAATGAGGAATATAGCAAGTAAATCATACAGCATGTGAAAAATGGTAAATTATATACAAAAAGATAAAAGGAAGAGCAGGCTGAAGGGGACAGGTGAGAGGCGGGTGGCTGTGATGTACAGCAGTTAGGATGGGCCTCAGACAGGCAGAGGTGCAGGTGAAGGGGAGACGCAGGTGGCTCCCGGGGGCGGGGGCGGGGGCGGGGCTCTCAGCCAGCGCACATCCTGGCAGGGGAGCCTGCCTGCGAGTCACAGGACCAGAGTCACATGACCAGGACTGACCACTGCAGGGGCTGCGGGGAGAGGAGGACAGAGAGGAACCTGAGGGCAGGGCAGGGGAGGGGAGGGTAAAGATCTTGTATTATCTGTGATCCAGGGACCGATGGCGGGGTTTTCAGCAGAGCAGTGACATCATCTAACTGACCCTCTTTAAAGATCCCCACGCTGGCCACTGTATTGAGAACAGACTCCAGAAGGGTGGGAGAGACCTGGGGGAGGCTTTCGTCGTGACTCAGGCAAATCATAACAGAAGCTTAGACCAGGACGCTAGCAACGCAGGCTTAGGAGACATGACTAAAGTCTGGAAGATTCTGCAGGCAGAATCAACAGAGCTTTCTGGCAGGCTGGGCATGAGAAGAAAGGAGGAGGACGGCGAGCGGGGGAGGGGAAGCCAAGCCTGAGGGCCAGGTCATCAGCCTTAGACGCTGATGGACGGGGTCTTCACTGAGAAGGGAAAGTTGAAAGGGGAGCGGGCTGGAGGAGCGCTCGGGAACCGAGGGTGCTGGGGGTCCTGGAAGCCACGTGAGAACAGTGACGCAAAGAGGAGAACTGAGCTCAGACCCTTGGACCCGCACGGCCCCTGGACCAGAGCATTTTCTGGGGGGTGATGGAGCTGGTTTCAGAGAAAAGGGGAGGAGAGGAATTGCAGGCGGCCAGCACAAGGGCTCCACCAGGGGCCGGCGGCAAAGAAGAGCCTAGAAATCCGGAGGGAGCCGAGCGGAGAGGCAGAAGCAGAGGGTGCAGTGAGGTGGAGGTCACAGCCTGCGACCTGCACGGGATGCAGAGCCTGCGGAGGACCCAGCGCGGAGGGAGCGAGTTAACGGAGCGGGGGGCGGGGGAGGGAAGAGCCGCGAGGGCAGGGACCTCTGAGACCAGGACAACTGGCAGGGCGGCTCTGGACAGGAGCCCGGGCAGCATCGAGGAGGGCGTGAAGCCGGAGTGCGCGGCGCCACCGGCCGCGGGGCCGGCGCCTGCACAAAGCCCCACCGGAGCACTGCGCCTGCGCCCTGCTGCTGCCTTAGTCTCGCCCAGCCGCGCTGGTTTCTCCTGCCACCTAATGGGCGGGGAGGTCGCCCCGGGCACCCGCACCCCTAAACTATGCGGTAGGCAGGGGACCAACCCTAAGTGTTCGGAGGTCTTAAGACACTGAACTGTGTATGTTCTGGGGGTCGTTTGGTTTGGGGTCTGTTCCCATATGTTATGCTGCAACGTCAGCCATAATGAATCTGGTAAGAAATGTCAAGGTTGTAAAACCTGGCACAATAGATAAAAGCTTTCTAATTCCTTTTAACCTATTTTATTTGTATTGATGTTCAATAGTTTTGTCAAGTGTATGCCAGCATCAAGCATCTGAAAATAACTTACAAAGTAAAGAACTACCTTTGTTAACTTTTCCTTTAAAAACATCAAAGGATCATTTCTAAAGCTCTACTAGAGATTACATATGCACCTTACAAAATATATTTTAAATACTTATGTATGTTATTTGGGGGTTATTTTTAGCCAAAAGACCTGAAGTTGCTGGAGAAACAGAATGATATAATTCTAGAAACTTAAATGGAAGTCAATATGTAGTAACAAAACTTATCTCATTTGTCTTAAAATTTTCCCATTTTTGAATATAAATTTTAATATAATCCAAAAGAATAATTTCTATAATTCTCAAGCTTACAGGCTAACTTTTGGCAGAAAAGATAATAAAATTGCTTTCTTAAAAGGAAGTGAATGGAGAAATACTGAAATTTTCAAAAATATGGGGTTCAATGAAATGGAAAATTGTTTAGAAAAATTTATATTAAAAAAGAAAAAATTTCATCGTGTGTGTGATAAATAATTTATTAGGCTAAGCCCCATCTAAAGATTATTAATAAAAAAAGGAACGTTTTGACTCTTTACAATAGCATTTTTTTTCTAAAATGCGTCTTTCAAGTTTCCCACCCAAATTGTGAATTTGGTCTGACAGGATGGAAAGGACAGGACTGGACCTCAGGGTTCTAGTGTTGGTGGACATGACCTTGGGAGAAGCACAATTTCTTTATCACAGAGACACAGCTCCCTTTCTTCCCGTGTCCTGAAGCAGAAGGAGAGAAGGGTGGATTCGAGTTAGGGCTTTCATAGGGCTGCTGAGACCTTGTGGAGAGAGGGCAGCGAGGCCATCAGGAAGGTCCCGCCTGGGAGGAGCACAGCTGGGGCGAAGGCGCCCCATTACCAAATGTGGGCTGGGCATTCAAGGAAGGGGCTCGACAGCAGTGCACGAATGGACTAGGTGTCCCCAAATCTTCTCTGAGCGCGTCACCAACTCCAAGTCCGTAAAGTCCGGTGAATCAGTGGAACATTGCCGAGCCCCTGTTCCCTTATGCTAGAGAAGGTCAAATAAGCATTTATGTTTTAATTGTATTTAATGCTCTGGGTTCTCAGATGGGTAGGATACGTCTCCATTATCCAGGGCATAAGGGCAAAGAGAACAATTCACTTTGTTTACATCCTTTCAGAAGAATTCAGCTTTAATAGGGAAGAAAGACTACAAAAATGAGTGTTTCCTTGAGGGATATTTTGATGAAGTTGGAATTTCTGTATCTACATTCCTTATACAAAATAACAGGGAAAATGCTTGGGTACAACAATTTAAAAAGTGTGCTTCTGTGAAGTTACGGAACCAAAATTTGTCCTGGAATGATATAGAGTCGCCTAACTATTTCATAAACGTACTCCAGACATAGAGTACTTCAACCCACTCAGGTTATTTGAAGCGGGAGAGAGAAAGCATGTGCACACCCACCTCGAGTTCGGTGAAGAGCCCGTGGTTGTTCTGGAGTATGGCGTACATGCAGTGTGCCACCGTGACTGCGTGCTTCCAGTTGTGGTAAGGGACCCGACGATAGTTTTTCTTCACAGACATGATAAAACGACACAACTTTTCAAGCTCAAAGCTGTGCGGAAAAGAAATCGTCATGACAGAAACTGGTTAAGAACCAGTATGTTCCAGGAGACCACTAGATGTGCACGTCTGTCCTGTACGCGCTTGCACGCGTGAACACTTCCGCGGGGACGGGATGCAGGAGCACCGGGGCCTCACTCACCAACCTCCTCACTGCTTCTCCAGCCAGGTGAGAGAGGCAGACTCTTTGGTGGCTCGTGCTCTGACACGGTAACGGGCCCACGGGGGAGCAAATCCCAGAATCAGCTTGCCGTTACCCATCATGAACACCCGCCACCTCTTCCTTAGCTTTCAAGCATCTCATTCATCCCATTGTGCTCAACAGACAACAGCATATCATCATCCTGTTCAAGGGTATTTTTAGCTAAGTTTTTCCAGAAAGCAGATTCACAAGCTGCGACCATGCATACTATAAGAATTTCCTAGGTGAGTGATTATCCTTTCAAGAGGAATCCAAATTACCATGGGACACTCAAATTATTAAGCGGTGGTAGCAGATGGCTATATCCAAATCTTGACGCAGTCCATGAAAGAATATGACGTATTTTATCATACAGTATGGTTATAAATTTTTATGTGTATCATGTGTTTACACGTATTTAAAGCCCCACCAACTCTCTCAGTGGATTTAAGGCAGCTTAAGACAAAGGCATATCAATATGAAACAGGGGTCCCCGAAATACCAAAGAGACGAGAGTCCATTAAACCTCTAAATACATATAACCTTTATCTTTCTCCACTGAAAATTTTCAAATGTCCCTGAAGTGTGAGGTATGTGATTTTAAAAGTTTCAACTGGTCAAACTCTCAATTGCTATCTAAGAAATAAGTGGCATTAGTTACCCTGTGTGCATCCTTTTGAGACAATAATTTATAAAAGTCGCTGATGGAAGTAAGAGAAAACACAGAATTCAATAGGAAACAAGTGACAATTTAGTTCTAGAGACGCTAAGAGCCTCTATAAGCCACTTAATGACTAAATTAGTAAAAAAAGAGAAAAAGAAAATTATTCCTTGCATTTTAAGTATGTGTTTAAGCTGTTAAAAAAAAAAAAAAAAACAGATACAAAGTCATGAAAGGCCTCTGGGACAGGCCACAAGGAGAGGAGAGAGATTTGCAAGGAAAGGGCAACATAACTTCATTACTAACAAAGGACTAGACTTTGAATTAGGAGACCTGTTTCTTTCACACTTGTTTTAACTGATATATCGAAGTTAAAGGTGAAAGTCGATGTTAAATGTGCATGTACATTCCAAAACACACCTAAAAACAGTATGCAATTATGTTGAGAAGTAACCTCTGTCTCTTTTAGCTCCACCTATATCCTTCCGATCACCTGGTTAGACCTGGTTGTTAACCAAGGGGCAGCCTCTGAGGGAATCTAAAAAGGCTGCACATTTGTCCAATAATCTTAGCCTTTTTTAATTTAAATATCTAGAAAAACAATTTCTATATGGCATATTTAAGGTAATTATCAACCAAAAAAGTGGCGAGGCATTTAGGTAGGGGAGGAGGATTTTAAGGCAAGTGTGTGGGTCACACATACCAGGCTGTCCCACAGGACTGGTGGACCATGTAGACGAAAATTCCAGGCCACATGTTTTCAAAGGGACCGATGTCAAAGTGGAACCTGAAATAAACAGAAAACACAGGTCATGAGTAAATGTAATTAATTAGGATAAACATAATAACAAGTAAAGGGAGTAATTTAACTTTTTGCCTATCAAGAGACTAAAAAAAATACTAGGAGTTCGGCCCCCTCTTCCTGCCTCTCTCAGTCACATCTCTGTTGTATTCAAAGGTTTCCAGGAGGAAATTCCACACATTCCCTCAGGAACTTAGTCCAAGATCTAAGCCATTGCTTAATTCTTTATTAAGCAATCTGTAAAAAAGGAACGTTGTGTTTGTTATCAGAGCAACGACAAAGTCCAAAATAATTATATTATGAGCCCTACACATACAGCTCATAGATACGGGGGAGGAGCTCATCTGAAATTTTCTGAGATGAAAATTAGTCTATTTCCTATTTTAATCCAGAGAAAAGTTTCATAAATATTAACATCCAAAGTTATTACCTATCTTTCATGTGCTAATTTGGTTACAAACATTTAACCCAAATAAGCAGAACGGGAAAGTATTAAAAGAGACCATTTTCCTCTCATTACAGCACTTCTGACACCAAATGTGTGAGTTTTCCACACCAAGCAATTCTCCGGTTCTCTGCAGACGCCGGCTGACTTCCTGCAATTCAGTTCAATTCTGTCATTACCTGGAGTTAACGAAGACCCCAGAGGTTAGGGGCGCAGGCCCACAGGCTGCCCCCACTTGAAACGTCAATCACAAGCCCAGGCCACCCACACTTCTAATCCATCGGCTGTTCCCACAACCCCTCCTCAGGTCAGATGATGCGCTAGGACGGCTCCAGAACTCAGGGAGACACTGCGTTTACTCTCACCGGTTTACTATGAGGGATACAATGCAGCAAGAGCCAAGCGAAAGAGAGGCACAGGGTAAGGTGGGGGGAGGGTAAGGTAGGGGGGAGGGCAAGGTAGGGGGGAGGGCAAGGTAGGGGGGAGGGGAAGGGGGGGGGGGGGGGAAGGGGGGGGGAGGGTAAGGTAGGGGGAGGGTAAGGTGGGGGGAGGGCTGCGGAGCTCCCATGCCTCTCTGGGGGCACCCCCTTTATAGCACCTGATGCCTTCACCAACCTGGAAACTCGCCGAACCCCTTGGTTAGGGTTTTTTGGAGGTTCCAGTACATGGGTACGGTTGACTAAATCACGGATCACTGGTGATTAGCTTAATCCCCAGTTCTCCCTGGAAAGGAGTCCAAGGGTAAGGCTGACTTCCAACCCTCTAATCATAGGCTGGTTTCTCTGGCAACTGGCCGTCATCCTCCGAGAGCCACTCAAAAACTCAGGGTGGCTGAAAGAGGTTTCATATGAGTAACAAAAGATGCCTCTCTCACCCAGATCACTCAGGGAATTACAAGAGTAAAAGGAGCTCTGTGCCAGGAACTAGCTACATATATATACATATATATACACACACACACGCACACACACTATATAATACATATACTGTTAAAAGATAAACTGAGGCGTATTAAAAATCTTAAGAGTTTATTTGAGCAAAAACCCATTTGAATAGAGCACCACCAACTTAAAGCGGTTGAGTGCTTTGGTGACAGGAGCCATGGAAACACATCTAAAGAGAAGATGCAAAGAAAAGAAAGTATTTGATTGGCGACAGCTTAAAGCCTAGTTGGCTGTTCAGAACTGGCTATCCTTAGCATTTCCATCTCCTTACCTTGAGGCATTTACAGGTTTAGATTTACAGGTTCGTTTACTAGGCCGCCAGGGCATTAAAGTCACATCAGTCTAACGGCCTCCTTGTTTAATTAATTTAAGAATACTCTGTTTCCAAGTATAAACAAATATCAGCTCTGGATCACTTCTGAAGGTTTTTTATGTAGTTATATAGTAGTGTTGGCTTGTACTTCTAATGGGCAGGTCCTACCACCAGTATCAAATACATTAGCATAGGATTAGAAACAAAGTGTGAAAGTTGAACTATTTATTACTAAATTCTCAGATTTAATTTGTAAATTTAAAATTATATGGAAATGAAAACTTTCAGCTATCTGATATTAAATGTCATTTTGAATATTAAATATTACATAGTGTAAAGTGTGCAAAAGGCTAAAGACAAAAGCTCACATTTAGGTTAAATCATTTCAAAATCGTGTTCAGACTTTTTTTTTTTAAAAGATAAAGAGATCTGGCCTTTCCTTCCTTCCAAGGGGAAAATGGCAACACAAGAAACCACACATGTAATATGATATTTATGATTCTAATTCTAGAACCCATTTCACTTTAAATTCAATCAAATTAAAAATCTGTTCCTGAAGAAACTGACAAGACAAAACTCTCACAGTTCAATTTCTTTGCAAAGACGGGCGGGAAGGTTGAAATGCATGAGGCCTTGCCATTCCTCTGAAGTACAAATGCTATGATAGGACAGCTTCTCCATGGTGACCCGGTAAATGCACTCCGAATGACGAATTCTATGATACATCTGGAAAGCAAATCCAACAGAGAAAAAATAAAGAATGTTTAAAGCAGTTTTGTCATTAAAGTTCAGAATTTGGTATAAAAAAATCAGAACTATAATTGGATTCACTATTACTTTCCATTGACTACTATTACTATATATATATTTCCATGTACACTGAAGATATCCATGACACATGTGACTTTGAAGATACAAATAGTTTTTTAAAAAATTATATCTCCTTTTTAAAAGACTTATTAAATTCCCTAACAAATGTCTTTTTGCCGGACGTTATCTCTGGGTAGAGAGATTACCTGGTACCTTATTCTCGGACTCCCAGCCTCCAGAGTGGAGAGAAATAAATATCTGCTGTTTATAAGCCACCTGGTCCATGTATTTTGTTACAGCAGCACAAACGGACTGAGGCAGAGACTAAATGAGACAAGAGTTAAGATACTTTTTTCTATGTCTCCTTTTAAAAATATTTAGCTTAATTCTTGGTGATCTCAAGGTCCTCTAGTCCAGGGAGTCTGAAAAATGTTCGATTGTAAAGTTCTTTACTGGTAAGATAAATTTAAAGATGCATGCGTAATAAACGTATACTCCTTCAGCAGTTATATGCACATGCACTGTGCTAATATATTGTTTATATTATAAAACAAGCTAAAATAGAAATTTAAAAAGATAAAAATAAAAAGTACATAGTTTTTAAATATTTTATTTACTTAGTAAACAAGACTCTTTTTGTTCATACTAAACAATTATATATTTTGAAATGAAGCACTGTAATTGTATGTTATCAACTGTCAAGTTTTTTTCTTTACTACTTTGTGAGATGGTGGCGTCAAGTTTAATACTTAGAAACAGTTGTACTATTGGAGAAGAATATGCCAAAAAGTATGCGGATCCAGAAGGAATAAAGGTAGTATTGACTGTTCTTAAATATCACACTTACAGTTTTGCTCCCTAATGACTAACACTTTTGACTGAAATTCAGACAAATTTCCATTTTCCCTGATGTAAATCAGTTAATCTTGCAAACTAATCAGTTGCATCTTTATATATTATCAATCAGGTTCAAAACCAATGACACTCAGTGAAATCATTCATGGGGAAGATTTTAATAAATTAAAAGCTGTTTCATAAAATAAATTTTTAAAAAAATTCAACTTTTGAAGACAGAGAGGGAAAAGGAAATAAAAAACAGATGGAACAAACAAAACAAATAACAAGTTGATGGACTTATACCTAAACATAAAATGCGCCTGGTCTAAATATCCCCATTAAAAAGAAAAGGTTATCTGATTGAACAGAACTGCAAAACCCCAACTCCCGCTGTTTACAGGAATCCTACTTTAAACATAAAGACTCAGATAGGGTAAAAGTAAAAGGCTGAAAAAGATATTTAACACCAGGCTAGAGAAAGTGGGAATGGCTGTACTTGTATCAAATAAAGTAGATTTCAGAGCAAAGACTATTACCAGGGATAAAGAAGGTCATTTCAAAATGATAAAGGGGTCAGTTCATCAGGAGAACCTCATACTCCTAAGCGTATATGGTGGGTTGGTTGTCAACGAGGGTGCAGAGGCGAGTTAGTGGAGAAAGAAGTCTACACAACAAAGGGATCTGGATCAGTGGGCACCGGTGGGCCAAACAAACAAATGTTGATCCTTCCCTTGTACCATACACAGAAATTTACTCAAAATGTAAAACTATAGAACTTCTAGAAGACACCATAGGAGAAAATCTTTGTGGTCTTAGGTTAGGCAAATATTTCTTTGATACAATGCTGAAAGCATGATCATAAAAAGAACAAATCATAAATTAGACTTCTTCAAAATAAGAAAGAAACTGTTAAGAGAATGACAAGCCAAACGCTGGGAGCAAATATTTGCAAATAAGCAACGTGATAGATGAGTTGTATCTAGAATATATAAAAGAACTATTAAAGCTCAATTAAAAAAAAAAAACAGACAATCACAAACAAAAAATAGGCAAACGATTTGAGAAGACCCTTCACCAAAGAAGACATGGAGATGGCAAATGTGGAGAAACTGGAACACACACAATGATATTGGGAATGTACAACCACTTTGGAAAACGGTTTGGCAGTCTCTTAAACATCCCCTCACCGGATGACCCCACCGTTCTGGGGATTTACTCAAGGGAAATTAAAGCGTACGCCCACGCAAAGACATGTGCAACTTTATTTGTAACAGCCCAAAATGAAATAGCTCAAATGCCCATCAACAGGTGACTACATAAACAGCTCATATCCATTCAATGGAATACTCAGTAATGAAAAAGAATGAACTATGTACACACACAATGTCATGGATGAATCTGTGCTAAGTGAAAGAAGCCAGGTAAAAAGGAACACAGATTTTATGATTCCAATTATAAAAAATAGTTCTAGAAAATGCAAAGTAAGTTATAGAAAGTAGGTCAGTGGTTGCTTGAAACTGGGGGATGAAGATGGGGAGGGTCCCATGGGAGGGATCACAAAGGGGCCACAGAAGCTCGAGGGGGTGATGGGTACATCTGCCATCTTGATGTGGTGATGCTTGCACTGGGCTGTGTGCATACACACCTGTCAAACCGTATGCTCTAAACGCATGCAGTTCACTGTATATTTATAAACCCCAGTAAAGTTTTTTTAAAAAGTTTGCTCCCAGTCTTTGTAAAGGTATGTGATAATTTGTATATGTGACACATAAATTTCAGCAAAAAAGTCACATGATGGTGATGAAAACATCCGTTTTCAAAGTACTCTGTGGCATGAGTTTATTTGGAAAAGCAATTATCTTCTTTTTCAGTGTTAATGTTACTTGCAATTTGAAAGTTCAGATTAAATGCTTATTTCTTTGAATATGTCTTCTAAGTAACAAAACATTGCCATTTGTCATCAGAAAAGATCAGCAATTTGGAGTTACCTTTTGTGAAAGAAATATGTGTAAATAATCAGTGAATTTAATAACTATTCCAAGTACTTTGCCCCATAGCAGCAAATCCTTGGTGGTATAATGGAAATGAATGTACATTGCAAAGCTGTCCTCCTGATATGGTTGAGGAAAAGCCAGGATGGGGCTTAAAAGTGCAGGCTGGACACCACTGTCACCTCTTCCTCCTTGTAGAAGTCCCGCTCTGTCACAGGGGACTCCACACCCTGGACAAGACACAACCACCTGACGCATGAACTGGATGAAAGCTACATCCGTGTATGAGCAATCAAGAAACTGTAGTTTCTTTAATACCATTTACCTAAAAGAAGTTCTCACATTTCCCTCCTACCCCTCAATGGACTGTCACTTGCCTTCCACTCGAGATGATACTGTAGGTTCTTGTAGGAGGGTGAACAGTCAACAGGATTTACTCAGTATTTACCGTGATTCGGTATTACCTGTTATTCAGTGTAATTCTATGGGGGGGGTGCTAGTAAAAGTAGCTATTATACGTTAGGCAGCAAAATAATACTGCTGTTACAGTCGTGAATACTAGTGGGCACTAACTCTGTGGCAGGCAGCGTTCTAAGTGCTTTGCACGCACTACTTCACGTAACTCTCACAAAAATACTGTCATTTATCATTTTATAAGCTTATGACCTCCAATTAGAATAAGCTATATTTTTATTTATTATTTTTATTTATAAACTTATATTTAAAGTTTGAATAAATTTATAATGTTTACAAATATATAAATTATTCAATTTAGATGTATTTATTTTATTTTTATTCTATTTTGTGTTCAGTGTAGGGAAGTAACGTGACTTTTAACTTTACGGCAAAAAATAATTAGTTTTGGCAAATTTTATAGCTACTTTGGTCCCCATTTTCTACATGACCTTCAATATGAATAGTAGAAAATAATATAATGTAATATTATTAGTAAATGATTTTACCGTATTCATCCTACTGCAAATTACTTTTCTTTATTTTTTTATTTTTATTTTTTTGCAGTACGCGGGCCTCTCACTGTTGTGGCCTCTTCCGTTGCGGAGCACAGGCTCCGGACGCGCAGGCTCAGCGGCCACGGCTCACGGGCCCAGCCGCTCCGCGGCATGTGGGATCTTCCCGGACCGGGGCACGAACCCGCGTCCCCTGCATCGGCAGGCGGACTCTCAACCACTGCGCCACCAGGGAAGCCGCCTACTGCAAATTATGAATGAAGTAGAAAACCATGCTGCCTAAGCTGATTTTGCATGAACTGCCTATGACAGCTGAGTAGTTCATCTTGGGCTCCCTGTCCAGCCGGAAGAGACCGCAAGGAGAGGTGGCTGCCATTTATTCTGATGGTGTTTCAATCTTAGGCTCTAGGATATGGAAAAGTCACAAAAGACAGAAGAAAGAGGACCTGGAAACAGGAGTATAACCTAGCATATTTCTACCACATGGTAAAAATGCCACCACTTATAATTTTATAAATATTGGCATCCAAGAATACTTACTGATGCTTCAGAATGTTTCTCTTGTGCCTATTTCTACAATCATCATCACTCTGAGTAGCCATGGTGGTGTCTGGAGGATGCCCTAATATTATTCACGTCACGACAGGCCTGGAATCACTTAAAGGTAAAGCAACTAAGAACCAGACTCCGGATCACCTGCCTGGGTTGAATCTCCTCTCCGACTTTCACTAACGGTACACCTTTAAGTAAGTTACCTAATTCTCTGTGCCTCAGTCTCCCAGGTACAGACTGTGGACACTGCAGTACCCAAGCCAGGAAGAATGTGAAGGTTCAGTGCAGGAACACACTTAAGGAACTGAGAACAAACTCGGTCAAGTGCCGTTAAGCTCTCAGTGCTGTTGGCAGCTACCATCTGCTCATCTCTGATGACACCAGCACTGCTGCCACTCCATTTGGCTCCTTGATGTTAGTCTGGTGAAGGATTCTTGAGTGGCAGGGGCATCTGTGCTGTCTTGCAAGTGCCGACTGTGCACATCGCCACGCAAGTCTGCACTCAGTACGTTATGTGGGAGCTTGAGAGAGTCCGTAGTGGGAGCCCGCACTCCACAGAAACTGGGGA